TATCACTGCAAATTAATTTCTATATTCTGTCTAAAATAATGATCTGAGTCGATCTTAATTAAGAAATCTTCTATATCTGGAAATTCTCTACATTTAATGCTTATTTAGAAAATATATTTTGTATGGAGTTGGAAACTTTGCCTTCTGTGCGTTACGCACATTGCTCCGACTACAAATGCAAGTATACGCTACTTACTCTTGGAGTACCGGTTATTAAAGCTGCTATTTTTGGGTAGATTGAAGTTTTTATGGTAGATTTAAGATATCAGTGTAGAACACCAAGATAAATTCCGTATCCAATCTTATGATAATGGTCGTAACTGCACGAATCTCATTATACATATATCAGTTTCAGTTGTCAACTCTTTCAATCAATATCATGTTAAGTCTCGTTCTCCTCCTAGGTGATCTATTTACGTTTGAACACTTTAAGTTCGATTTACATGTCACTTTTAAATCCTCAAGCAGCTCCCCTAAGTCTTGCCATAAAATCAAAAGGTTGCATGGTGAATTGCCCAATATCATACGACGGAATGACATGTGCCTTTGATTTAGCTTGCGGATTTGAGGCAGAAAATGAATGTCAGCTAAAAGTGGAGATATGTTTGCGTGAATTAAACAATAGACCCCGTAAGTTTTTTTGATTTTACTAGTTTTTATATGATTTATGCTCTTTAACATATATTGTTCGACTACTGAAAGGTTTTATCAAAACGAGTCCTGGATACTGTGTGGATGACAGAAAAAGACAGTGCAAACCTATGACACAAGAAGAATTTACAGATATAGATTTGACGTAAATTCGTTTTTTCACTTATTAAAACATTTTACATGGCCATTTGCATGCATTTTGCATTTGACGATTGATGGCGGTATTCTTCTATTACTTTTCTGGTACCACTTAAAATTAAATTTAAAATAATAAACACTACAAGATTCTTAACGTGTGAAACGCTTCCTATGCGTTACAACTTTTATACAAGGTACTCTTTTCGAATTTTATATTTGACATTTTACATTTTATCTGCATATGTCTTCTTAATAACTTTTCACGCCAACACGCACTATTAGCTAACCCCCCTCCCATATAGCCGCTCTCTACACAAAGCAAAGTGTGGAATGAAAAAATGTGCAAAAAATAAAAAAAAGCTGCTAGACGGTGTGGGGATAGCCACTGCAAATTCATTTCTTCATTCCCCCTATTCGGAATATCATGTTTATATCCGGTACTCGAAGAGTAAAAGAGAGTTATATTTTATTTGTGGGTAATAACGATTGAGCCATGTCTGTCTATCTGTCCGTCCTTATGAGTCCTAGTACTCAGAGACCATAGGGCAAACAAGTTTTTCATCCAGACTTCTATAGGCGCACACTGTTACAAGTATATTTTAAAAACGATAAAGGACGTGTGAGACGCTTCTTACGAGTCACAACTTTTATACCCGGCACTCAGTACTACATCTGCACCTTAGCAGTGTTTTGTTAAATTTTAAATATTTTCTTCATCTGTCATCTACATCTACAACACTTCTCACACCAACACGCTCCGTTAGCTCTCCGCCCTTCCCTAGACCCACACACTGCAGACTCGAGGCAGAGGCAGAGGCACCGTCCGCACACAAACAAAAAAAAAACAAATTTAAGATGCGGGACGGGGTGGGTTAAAAGTCGGAAGAGGCATCGGCAGGAGGAGGGCAGAGGCAGGGGCCGAGTGAAGCAGAAGCAGAGTGTGAATGAGAGAATGTAAAAAGAACAAGAAAAGCTGCGGGACAGGGTGGGTTTAGCCACTAGAAATTAATTTCTCCATTGTGGCTATAGTAATGATCCGATCGGATCCCAATTTGGTGATCTGATAGATATGGCCATTCCCTACGGAATGTCTTCTTTTATCTTCAAAATTTTAGATTTGGGAGGTTTTCGCCCTTTTGCGGGGGCGGAAGGGGGCGTGGCTCGTTTTTGAAATACACTGGTTTCAGTGTGAGCATATAGCATTCTGGATGCAAAATTTGGTGGCTCTAGCTATTATACTCTTTGAGAACTAGCCGACAAATATCTATCGACTCGGCTATTGATGCTGATCAAGAATATATATACTTTATGGGGTCGGAAACGCTTCCTTCTGGGCGTTACATACAACCGTTATTCACACAAATACAATATACCCTATTTACTCTTCGAGTACCGGGTATAAATATATATGTAAATGTCATGTGTGAACTCCAAAAAAGATTCAAAAAAATGTGTAAACCAATAGAATGAATCCATGCCAATCGAAAATTATCCTCACTTTTGAATAACTCAATTCCCATGAAGAGGAAAGGGACATTCCCTCATAAAGTCGTGCTCTGGTAAATGCCCACAGAAATTACACTGGTGGGATGGCTACCGATAGCGTTCCGAAACTCAATGGACATTACCGCAAAACAGCAGGAGATGGGACATCGAGCTCGAGCCTGAGCTGTCGTATGAGTAAAAAAATCTAATCTAATAAATGTCTTGAAGTGTGTCTCAATCGAAAGGATTTCGTACAGTCCTTCTGCGCATTAGATCACAAACGAAAATGCTGGTTTACAAAACCATCAAATTGTACATACGATCTTGTTAAATGTTTGAGAATGAAGGCGAACTTACCCCGTGAGTAAATTATCTGTAATTTTTCATTTTATGCTAATTATTTGCATACATACTCTTAGCTTATAAAGCGCCGGACATTGTGGACGGTGAGTGTGATAAGGTTAAGAAAGAACCATGGTGCGAAACCATTGCGATAAAAGAAAATGAGGAATCAGAACCGAATGAAAAATCATATGAAAAATCAACGGAAAACGAAAAAGCCGAAGAATCAACCGCAGCAAATTCCACCACGGAAAAAGAAACAACAGAAAAATCAACTACAGATAATAAAACAACAAAAAAATCAACAACAGAGAAATCCACCACAGAAAAAGGATTAGAAACAACATATAACGCGACAGAAAAATCAACAGGAGAAAAATCAACCACAGAAAAAGCAGCAACAGACCAATCACCAACAGAGATTCCGAAATCAAACGAAGAAAAAGACACACCGACAGAAAAATCAATAGTGAAACCAAAATCAGAAGAACACACAGCGAAGGAAGAAACAACTGAGAGCAAAAAAGCATGGGAAGACACAGCAAAGGAAGAATCAACCAAGGAACCCAAGTCAGAAGAAGACACAGCGACGGTAGAACAAACACACAGACCAAAATCAGAAGAAGACACATCGAAGAAAGAAACAACTGAGAGCCAAAAAGCACAGAAAGACAAAGCGAAGGAAGAATCAACCAAGGAACCCAAGTCAGAAGAAGACACAGCGACGATAGAACAAACACAAATACCAAAATTAGAAGTAGACACAGCAAAGGAAGAAACAACTGAGAACCAAAAAGCAGGGGAAGACACACCGATGGAAGAATCAAACAAGGAACCCAAGTCAGAAGAAGACACAGCGACGATAGAACAAACACACAGACCAAAATCAGAAGCAGACACAGCGAAGGAAAAAACAACTGAGAGCCAAAAAGCAGGGGAAGACACACCGATGGAAGAATCAAACAAGGAACCCAAGTCAGAAGAAGACACAGCGACGATAGAACAAACACACAGACCAAAATCAGAATGAATCAGAAGACGAACCGGATGAATTCGAAAAACAGGAAGAAACACAGCCAGAGAAACCCAAATCAGAAAAAGAAGCGGACATGCATAAGGAAAAACAAACTGAGAAATCAAAATCAGTAGAACACACATCGAATGAAGAACCGACTAAGAAACAGAAGTCAGTAGAAGGAGGAGGCAGACCCGAACGAAAAACTAAAGAGCAACTAATCTCGGAAGAAGAAGACAGCAGACTGGGAGAAAAACCAACGGAGAAACCAAAATCAGACGAAGAAGGAGACAACCCGAAAAAAGAACCAACAGAGAAAAAAAAATCCATAAAAGAAAAATCGGGAAAAAGTACAAAGGATGAGGGAAAATTTAAAAAAGATAATTTGGCGGGAGAAGAGAAAACATAAGGAAAATCCATATCAGTACAAGAAAAATCGGAAAAGGCAAGAACGGAAAAAAAAATTCTTCCGAAAAATCAGCAGCAACAACAGAAAAGTCCAAATTTAAATGGGATCATTTGGGAAGAACCAAAATTCAAAAGAACATCAAAAATGAAAATATTAAAAGACGAAAAGCCGAAAGAAGAATACAATTTTGCAAAATAAAGGTGAAAGAAGAATGCAAAAGAAAAATAGAAAACAGAAGAAGGAACAAAAGAAGAAAGCAATTAAAGAGAAGAAACAGCTGAGAAAGCAAAAGATACAGGAAAAGAAACAGAAGCGTAAGAAACGAATCCAGATTAGGAAGAAGAATAAACAACTTCTGAAGAAAAAGCGGAGACAGAAGAGAAGAGAACAAAAAAGAAGAAAACCAAAAAAATATAAAAGGAACAATTAAAATAAGCAAACCCGTATGAAAAACAGAAGAATCAGAAGGAGAAAAACAGAAAAATCGGAATTAAGAGAGGAATCACAATAAACACCAAAATCAAATGCAAAATCCGAGGAAGAAAAAACACGAAAAGAAAAACAGATAAGGCCAAACCAACGGCAGTTAAATTCGAAGAAGTACATTATTGTTATACCCGGTACGCGAAGAGTAAATTGTATACGTGCACAAAAGTGGATGTACATATGTAACGCACAGAAGGAAACGTTTCCGACCACATAAAGTACATATAAATGTATGTATATTCTTGATCAGTATCAATAGCCGATATACAGGTCTGTCTGTCCGTCCTTATGAGCGCCTAGTACTCAGAGACCATAAGAGCTAGAGAAAAGTTTCAAAAAAAGTTTTGTGTCCAGACAAGCTAGAAGATATTATAGCCAAAATTAAGAATTTAATTTGCAGTGGCTACGCCCACCCCGTCCATCAGCTATGCTTATTTTTTTCACATTCTCTCATTCCACACTCTGCTGCGTGCAGTTTGCGGCACTAGGGAATTGGGGATTGCCTAACAGAGCGTGAACAGTGTTGTAGATGTAGATGACATACGTAGAAAAAATTTTAAATGTAAAATGTAAGATTTTGAAAAAAACACTAACACACGTTTCTTCTCGTTCCTATTCGAGTACCTGGTATAAAAATACATTACACCTTATTTACTTACTCTTGGAGTAATGAGTACAATTTAGACAAATTTAGATAAGTAACAAAGGAAAAACTGAAATTGAAAATAATAGAATCAAGTGCAGAAGCACTTCATACAAACTTACGTTTTTTTCGAATTTGTATTAGATTTTTTCTACATCTGTCATATCCAACTACACTTTTCACACCAACACGCCCTTTTAGCTCGCCATCCTAATCCATAACCTCACACTGCATGAGGCAGAGTGTGCGATTGATAAAGAATAACACCATGGGGGGAAATCACTGCAAATTAATTTCTTCNAGTTTCAAAAAAAGTTTTGTGTCCAGACAAGCTAGAAGATATTATAGCTAAAATTAAGAATTTAATTTGCAGTGGCTACGCCCACCCCGTCCATCAGCTATGCTTATTTTTTTCACATTCTCTCATTCCACACTCTGCTGCGTGCAGTTTGCGGCACTAGGGAATTGGGGATTGCCTAATAGAGCGTGAACAGTGTTGTAGATGTAGATGACATACGTAGAAAAAATTTTAAATGTAAAATGTAAAATTTTGAAAAAAACACTAACACACGTTTCTTCTCGTTCCTATTCGAGTACCTGGTATAAAAATACATTACACCTTATTTACTTACTCTTGGAGTAATGAGTACAATTTAGACAAATTTAGATAAGTAACAAAGGAAAAACTGAAATTGAAAATAATAGAATCAAGTGCAGAAGCACTTCATACAAACTTACGTTTTTTTCGAATTTGTATTAGATTTTTTCTACATCTGTCATATCCAACTACACTTTTCACACCAACACGCCCTTTTAGCTCGCCATCCTAATCCATAACCTCACACTGCATGAGGCAGAGTGTGCGATTGATAAAGAATAACACCATGGGGGGAAATCACTGCAAATTAATTTCTTCATTCTGGCTATAATAATGATCTGAGCCGATCTTAATTAAGAAATCTGCTAGATCTGGAAATTCTCTACGATTAATGCTGATTTAGAAAATATATTTTGTATGGAGTTGGAAACTTTGCCTTCTGTGCGTTACGCACATTGCTCCGACTACAAATGCAAGTATACGCTACTTACTCTTGGAGTACCGGTTATTAAAGCTGCTATTTTTGGGTAGATTGAAGTTTTTATGGTAGATTTAAGATATCAGTGTAGAACACCAAGATAAATTCCGTATCCAATCTTATGATAATGGTCGTAACTGCACGAATCTCATTATACATATATCAGTTTCAGTTGTCAACTCTTTCAATCAATATCATGTTAAGTCTCGTTCTCCTCCTAGGTGATCTATTTACGTTTGAACAGTTTAAGTTCGATTTACGTGTCACTTTTAAATCCTCAAGCAGCTCCCTCAAGTCTTGCCATAAAATCAAAAGGTTGCATGGTGAATTGCCCAATATCATACGACGGAATGACATGTGCCTTTGATTTAGCTTGCGGATTTGAGGCAGAAAATGAATGTCAGCTAAAAGTGGAGATATGTTTGCGTGAATTAAACAATAGACCCCGTAAGTTTTTTTGATTTTACTAGTTTTTATATGATTTATGCTCTTTAACATATATTGTTCGACTACTGAAAGGTTTTATCAAAACGAGTCCTGGATACTGTGTGGATGACAGAAAAAGACAGTGCAAATCTATGACACAAGAAGAATTTACAGATATAGATTTGACGTAAATTCGTTTTTTCACTTATTAAAACATTTTACATGGCCATTTGCATGCATTTTGCATTTGGCGATTGATGGCGGTATTCTTCTATTACTTTTCTGGTACCACTTAAAATTAAATTTAAAATAATAAACACTACAAGATTCTTAACGTGTGAAACGCTTCCTATGCGTTACAACTTTTATACAAGGTACTCTTTTCGAATTTTATATTTGACATTTTACATTTTATCTGCATATGTCTTCTTAATAACTTTTCACGCCAACACGCACTATTAGCTAACCCCCCTCCCATATAGCCGCTCTCTACACAAAGCAAAGTGTGGAATGAAAAAATGTGCAAAAAATAAAAAAAAAGCTGCTAGACGGTGTGGGGATAGCCACTGCAAATTCATTTCTTCATTCCCCTATTCGGAATATCATGTTTATATCCGGTACTCGAAGAGTAAAAGAGAGTTATATTTTATTTGTGGGTAATAACGATTGAGCCATGTCTGTCTATCTGTCCGTCCTTATGAGTCCTAGTACTCAGAGACCATAGGGCAAACAAGTTTTTCATCCAGACTTCTATAGGCGCACACTGTTACAAGTATATTTTAAAAACGATAAAGGACGTGTGAGACGCTTCTTACGAGTCACAACTTTTATACCCGGCACTCAGTACTACATCTGCACCTTAGCAGTGTTTTGTTAAATTTTAAATATTTTCTTCATCTGTCATCTACATCTACAACACTTCTCACACCAACACGCTCCGTTAGCTCTCCGCCCTTCCCTAGACCCACACACTGCAGACTCGAGGCAAAGGCAGAGGCACCGTCCGCACACAAACAAAAAAAAAACAAATTTAAGATGCGGGACGGGGTGGGTTAAAAGTCGGAAGAGGCATCGGCAGGGGGAGGGCAGAGGCAGGGTCCGAGTGAATCAGAAGCAGAGTGTGAATGAGAGAATGTAAAAAGAACAAGAAAAGCTGCGGGACAGGGTGGGTTTAGCCACTAGAAATTAATTTCTTCATTGTGGCTATAGTAATGATCCGATCGGATCCCAATTTGGTGATCTGATAGATATGGCCATTCCCTACGGAATGTCTTCTTTTATCTTCAAAATTGTAGATTTGGGAGGTTTTCGCCCTTTTGCGGGGGCGGAAGGGGGCGTGGCTCATTTTTGAAATACACTGGTTTCAGTGTGAGCATATAGCATTCTGGATGCAAAATTTGGTGGCTCTAGCTATTATAGTCTTTGAGAACTAGCCGACAAACATCTATCGACTCGGCTATTGATGCTGATCAAGAATATATATACTTTATGGGGTCGGAAACGCTTCCTTCTGGGCGTTACATACAACCGTTATTCACACAAATACAATATACCCTATTTACTCTTCGAGTACCGGGTATAAAAATATATATGTAAATGTCATGTGTGAACTCCAAAAAAGATTCAAAAAATTAAGGCATTAGCTTAGCTATAATTTCGAAAATTACCCTCACTTTTGAATAACTCAATTCCCATGAAGAGGAAAGGGACATTCCCTCATAAAGTCGTGCTCTGGTAAATGCCCACAGAAATTACACTGGTGGGATGGCTACCGATAGCGTTCCGAAACTCAATGGACATTACCGCAAAACAGCAGGAGATGGGACATCGAGCTCGAGCCTGAGCTGTCGTATGAGTAAAAACATCTAATCTAATAAATGTCTTGAAGTGTGTTTCAATGGAAGGGATTTCGTACAGTCCTTCTGCGCATTAGATCACAAACGAAAATGCTGGTTTACAAAACCATCAAATTGTACATACGATCTTGTTAAATGTTTGAGAATGAAGGCGAACTTACCCCGTGAGTAAATTATCTGTAATTTTTCATTTTATGCTAATTATTTGCATACATACTCTTAGCTTATAAAGCGCCGGACATTGTGGACGGTGAGTGTGATAAGGTTAAGAAAGAACCATGGTGCGAAACCATTGCGATAAAAGAAAATGAGGAATCAGAACCGAATGAAAAATCATATGAAAAATCAACGGAAAACGAAAAAGCCGAAAAATCAACCGCAGCAAATTCCACCACGGAAAAAGAAACAACAGAAAAATCAACTACAGATAATAAAACAACAAAAAAATCAACAACAGAGAAATCCACCACAGAAAAAGGATTAGAAACAACATATAACGCGACAGAAAAATCAACAGGAGAAAAATCAACCACAGAAAAAGCAGCAACAGAACAATCACCAACAGAGATTCCGAAATTAAACGAAGAAAAAGACACACCGACAGAAAAATCAATAGTGAAACCAAAATCAGAAGAACACACAGCGAAGGAAGAAACAACTGAGAGCAAAAAAGCAGGGGAAGACACAGCAAAGGAAGAATCAACCAAGGAACCCAAGTCAGAAGAAGACACAGCGACGGTAGAACAAAAACACAGACCAAAATCAGAAGAAGACACATCTAAGAAAGAAACAACTGAGAGCCAAAAAGCAGGGAAAGACAAAGCGAAGGAAGAATCAACCAAGGAACCCAAGTCAGAAGAAGACACAGCGACGATAGAACAAACACAAATACCAAAATTAGAAGTAGACACAGCAAAGGAAGAAACAACTGAGAACCAAAAAGCAGGGAAAGACAAAGCGAAGGAAGAATCAACCAAGGAACCCAAGTAAGAAGAAGACACAGCGACGGTAGAACAAACACACAGACCAAAATCAGAAGAAGACACGTCGAAGGAAGAAACAACTGAGGCCAAAAAGCAGGGGAAGACACAGCGAAGGAAGAATCAACCAAGGAACCCAAGTCAGAAGAAGACACAGCGACGATAGAACAAACACACAGGCCAAAATCAGAAGCAGACACAGCGAAGGAAAAAACAACTGAGAGCCAAAAAGCAGGGAAAGACAAAGCGAAGGAAGAATCAACCAAGGAACCCAAGTCAGGAGAAGACACAGCGACAGAAGAACAAACAGAGAGACCAAAATCAGAGGAAGCCACATGGAAGGAAGTACAAACAATAAGACCAAAATCAGAGGAAGGCGCATCGATGGAAGAAAAAACAAAGAAATTAAAATCTGATGAAGAGTGAGGCAAACCAGAAGAGAAACAAACAGAGAGACCAAAATCAGAAACAGAAGGAAATCCTGACGAATCACATACATGGAAACCAGAAAAGAAACCCAAACCGGAAGAAGACTTATCGAGGGAACCAAAATCAAAACGAGAAGGGACGTGTGAGACGCTTCTTATGCGTCACAACTTTTATACCCGGCACTCAGGACTACGTCTAGATGTAGAAGACATCGCCAACCACAAGAAACTAGTTCACATTACAGAACACGTAGTAAACAGCCTACTAAATAAAATGCATCAAAAATATTGGATCAGTTAATCGTATTTTCCAATTTATGAGATATTTAAAACAGCAGTAAAATTGGTACTTTTTCCCTGCACATTCTGTGCAATAATGACCGCTAGGTTTCACATCAGATTTTTCAAAAGTATATGAAAATTTTTGGTACGCAACCTTGATGGTCACTCTTTTTCTAATACAGAGCGTTAAAACCCGATTCTTGGTTTTAACTTTTAAAAATTAGCTTTTGGCCACCAAAACTGGTCATTGGGACAATAGTGCATCTGCACCTTAGCGGTGTTTTGTTAAATTTTAAATTTTTTCTTCATCTGTCATCTACATCTACAACACTTCTCACACCAACACGCTTCGTTAGCTCGCCGCCCTTCCCTAGACCCACACACTGCAGACTCGAGGCAGAGGCAGCGCCCTCACACAAAAAAAAAAAAAGCAAATATAAGCCTTGGGACGAGGTGGGTTAAAAGTCGGCCGAGTCATCGGCAGGGGGAGGGCAGAGGCAGGGGCCGAGTGAAGCAGAGTGTGAATGAGAGAATGTAAAAAGAACAAGAAAAGCTGCGGGACAGGGTGGGTTTAGCCATTGGAAATTAATTTCTCCATTGTGGCTATAATAATGATCCGATCGGATCCCAATTTGGTGATCTGATAGATATGGCCATTTCCTACGGAATGGCGTTTTAAGTTTTCTTTTATCTTCAAAACTGTAGATTTGGAAGGTTTTCGCCGCTTTTCGGGGGCGGAATGGGGCGTGGCTCATTTTTGAAATACACTGGTTTCAGTGTGAGCATATAGCAGTCTGGATGCAAAATTTGGTGGCTCTAGCTATTATAGTCTCTGAGAACGAGCCGACAAACAAGACGGACAGACGGACAGACAGACATGGCTCTATCGACTCGGCTATTGATGCTGATAAGGAATTTATATACTTTGTGGGGTCGAAAACGCTTCCTTCTGTGCGTCATATACTTTTTATTCGCACAAATACAATATATATAATACAAATATAAAAATGAGAGTCAGTAGCGTCTCACACGTCCATTCTCGTGGGTTTTGTGGATACAGAAGTTTTTCGTCCATTCTGCTGGCGGGCCAAATTTTGAAATACACTTGGTTCAGTGTGAGCATACAGCAGTCTGGAAGAAAAATATGCTGGCTTAATCTTTTATAGTCTCTGAGAACTAGCCGACAAACAAGACGGACATTCGGACAGACTGACGACAAGACAGACATGGCTATTTCGACTCGGCTATTGATGCTGATCAAGAATTTATATACCTTGTGGGGTCGAAAACGCTTCCTTCTGTGTGTTACGTTTTCTCCCCACAAATCAAATATACCCTATTTACTCTTCGAGTACCGGGTATAAAAAGTATAAATTTTACTGTTAAGTAAATTATTCTATTCGCCCATATTTTAAGTCTTAATAATGTAGGATTTTGTTTTACTCGCAACGAATCTGCTATGAAATTGCTTATCTGTCTTCTCCGTCATGGCAGCTGCTTAATGCCCCATTGCTGCATAGTTTGACCAATTCAAAATACAGGAATGGGAATGGATAGCCCCAAACTACAGAAGAGCGTACGGGCGAACCGAAGCAGCCGACTATGAAAAATTTAAACTTTGCATTCAGGCCATTTCTTCATCCTCCGCTTGGCATTTGCCTTCATATCTTAGGTTGCGGTTCCACCCCGATATCAGTATCGTTTTCTGGTGGGTCTGGCCGCCTCTATCTTCATCTCTGGCTATATATTTGGCCGTCTCTGTCTGACACTGACAAGTTCTGCCTCCTTTCAAGATGGGTCGGAGCGACGGGGGCAGCACCCTAAAAATTAATTGAAACATCACTACCGGCTAATATTGTATATTAAAAACAGCAGCAAGCAGAGGACAGCACTCGGAGAGAGGGAGCGTGACCTGGGAAAGCAGAACCGAAATGGCCCACCTCTACTCCCAAAAAGATGAGGCATATAAAACTTTTGGGGTTAGCTGAGGAAAACTTGCAAATTGCCATAGTGCGTGGCCATTTATCAGTGTTACTTTTTTGGTGGTGGGAGGCACGAAGCAGCAGCAGCAGCAGAATGGATCTACTATGAGAAGAAGAATGTTGAACAATAAATAGGAACAACATTTTTGGTTGCTCCTTGGGAGTATTTTGTGCCGGTATTTTGTGGTCAGAGGGCAACCTGAACTTGAATTCAACCCTCTAACCTTACAAATCGGCCTACCATCCATCCCACTGCAACCCATCCCACTCCATACATAGAACGAATCAACCCATTCATTCATGTTCATCGTCATCAAATCACTGTACAATTTCGACTTTTCGAAAACTCTCAAGCGGACAAGAGCATAGACAGCCTCGAAATTAATGGACGCGCATGTGCAGACTCTCTTTGAGGGGCGCTCTCCGGCTCTCATGTGGCGATTGGGCCCTCGGCTATCGTCTGTTGCGTCTAGGACAACACATTTCTTATTAAATGCAACCTTTTGTGCTTTCGTGTGATCTAAAAAACGAAGCCTCTGGTCGGGGTCCCCGTCGCCATCGCCATGGCCGTCGTAGCTTGTCGCCGTGGTCGTGTTCTTTCGGTCTGCTGGTTGTCGTTGTCGTGCCATAAAATCCGCATAATGTTGCTCGGATGTGACAGTGCACGTTTATTATTTGTCGGGTGAGCATCGCTTTTGGGGCGGCACCGTGAGATACTTGTATGACAGGATAGTCTCTAGTGCTGATGTTGTGAGAATTTCGTACTTGAGCGACGCAATGGCAATGGAACGTGAACGTGTAACAAAAAGCATCACGGGGCTCAGTTTTTGATATAAAGAAATTTTAAGAAATAATTCACACATAAAATAAAAGAGGAAAGCGTAAATAAAATGCCAATCGCATTGTGATTATTGTAGTGTAGTGAAGTGCTTATTCAATTTAAGCTAGAGAAGAAAACCTAAGCCAAGGGAAAGCAAGGATAGGGAAAGACAAGGAAAAGCTGAGTTAAGTAAGAGGAAAACAAATCTTGGACATATGCAACAACTGGATACGGATACGCCACTGAAGCTTTAAACAGCGCGAATCAGCACCACTCTCCCCCACCCGCTTCAAGTCAAGTACGTAACAGATTGTTAATGCTGCCCCCTCTGACCCGAGTGGCACTCCATCTCGAATCCACGGAAAACTAAACGAAACCAAAACATCAACCATCTGTCCCCATCCTTTCGACACTTGACTGAAAGTTCAATTTCCTGCAAGATGCTTTAATTGAAGCGCACAGTAAACAGAAGAAGAAGGCAAAAGAAGCACCATAGCAGAGCCACAGCCCAGAGCCCAAAGAGGATATAAGCTCGTATGAGTGGGTGTCTCTGTGTGGCTCTTTGGCTGTCTCTCTCTCTCTCTCTGGTCATTCAGTCAGCCATTAGTTATTTGCTCATTTCCGCAAAACGCAACCTGCCCGGATGTGCAGCACTTGTAAGCCAATAAACAAGAGCAGGGACCCAGGGACTGCGAGCCAGGCACTTGGGTACTATATATGTATGTAGAAAAGATGGTAGGTCGCAATCTATCTGACATACACAGAAGAATGAATTAAATGTTCATCTGGTAGCAAACACATCAGCGACAATCAGCAGTGGTGATGGAACCGTAGACAGTCAGGGCTCGATGTCCCACCTCCTGCTGTTTTGCGGTAATGTCCATTGAGTTTCGGAACGCTATCGGTAGCCATCCCACCGGTGTAATTTCTGTGGGCATGACTTTATGAGGGAATGTTCCTTTCCTCTTCATGGGAATTGAGTTATTCAAAAGTGAGGGTAATTTTCGATTGGCATGGGTTCAATCTATTGGTTTACACATTTTTTCCGCATCAAATTTTCGAAATTATAGCTAAGCTAATGCCTTAATTTTTTTAATCTTTTTTGGAGTTCACACATGACATTTACATATATATATTTATACCCGGTACTCGAAGAGTAAATAGGGTATATTGTATTTTTGGGCAATAACGGTTGTATGTAACACACAAAAGGAAACGTTTCCGACCCCATAAAGTTTATATATGTTTGATCAGCATCAATAGCCGAGTCGATTGAGCCATGTCTGTCTGTCCGTCCGTCCGTCCGTTCTTATGAGCGCTTGGATCTCAGAGACCATAAAAGCTAGAGCCACCAAATATTGCATCCAGAAAAAGGCGAGCTAAAGGAGCGTGTTGGTGTGTGAAGTGTTGAAGGTGTAGATGACAGATGAAGAAAAAATGTAAAATTTGACAAAACACCGCTAAGGTGCTGTTATAATAATTTGTAGATGGATTCCAAACATTGCTCAATCTTATCAGAAAATCACTGTCAATACCAATCAATCCCTTTGCTGCACATTTGTCTCTGTCTAACCGGACAAATTTTGCAGAATGTGCTGAATAGCATTTCTGTGGTATTTAGAACATTCCTTCTTTATTTGTCGTAGAGTTTGGGAATCACACAGATTCCATTTCGGTTGGTATTGAATAAAAATGGAAAACCACGATGTACGAGCATCAATTGTGATAGGTTTGAGGAAGTATTCGCCATGCGTTGAAGAATAAAATTGAATCAAAATTTTTCAATGTAAAATAATCGTATGTGTGGAATTGAAACCCTTAAATAACATTACTCACCAAAATCGAACTTTTTTTTCTTTAAGGAACCAAAGGTTTTTAAATTTGTTTAAAGAATAATGTTTTTTTTCTATGTCGTTTTTTTATACCCGGTACTCGAAGAGGGTATATTGTATTTATGCACAAAGTGGATGTATGTAACGCACAGAAGGAAATATTCTTGATCAGAGCCGAGTCGATATAGGCATATCTGTCTGTCCGTCCGTCTGTCCATCTTTCCGTCCGTCTTGTTGAGCGCCTGGATCTCAGAGACTATAAAAGCTAGAGCCACCCAATTTTGCATCCAGATGGCTGTTTGCTCACATTGTCACATTGACTTGGCGTCGTTTAAGATATTGCTCATCAAAATCTATGTTCTTCAAAGTGTTTTAAACAAATTTTAATAAATGTTATATTAACTACCTCACACTGTCCCGTATGTGTGTCTTGATGCTTTAAGTTTCATTGATGTTTTCCCAAAATATATATTTTTTAGCTGTCGCTTATAATTATCGATATAAGAGTATGGGTAAGCTAAGTGTGTTACACGTGCTTGGATTATAGTTTATACTTGAAGTTTAAACAGCAGCACCAGAAAAATGATTAATATAGCTCTCCTTAACCTTGGACTCTGTAATAAGCTTTTCAAGTCTGTTTTAAAAAAGGCTTATGAAGTTTTAACAACACTTGGGAACAACATTTAAAGATTATTTCACAATGTACTGGGGTTGCTTCCAAAAGTATGAAGACTTTTTGCGTATCGATTGGAGTCAAAAATTCATATTTTTGAAATATCTATGTCCCTATACCCAAAAAAAACGGACCAGTCTAGCATTCAATCATCCATGCTCTCTTGTACACAATATTCTTGAAGAGTCTTTAAGATACTTTCAGGAAAAAGTAGCACAAATGTGTTTCGGGCGGTGGTCTACTCTACAGTGACACGACTTGTGGCACTGAATATGTGTCATAAATTCAGGTTCTTGGGACAACAATAACCAAGACGGACAATAACACGGCGCATCATTCATAAAGAGCAAAAAACACACACCCATGGCATAGGTGTAAAGAAACAAACAGAAGCAACAATGAGTGGAACCAGGGTGGGGACGGAGAGCGTATACGAATACGAGTATGAGTATGAGTACTCTTCACGGCCCACTTTTTTTTTGGGCTTCTCTATTTTTTCCTGCTGCTGCTTGTTATATTTTTTTTATGGCTTTTACGGACGGCCCGCAAAACGACGACGACGAAGACATCGATGAACCTTAGTGACAGAGCAGCGAAACCAGAACAGCAAAATGTTCGACCAAAAACCAGCCTAAAGCCTGAACCTACACCTACACCTATCCTATCCGCCCATTCCAAACAATCCGTCAGTACAGTACGAACCAGAACCCCTACGCCCAAATAGTTTGATGAAACTTGTTTTGTAATTGTTTGTTTTTTGGGGGTTTTCTTTGGATTTCCCCCCTCCTCAACCACTACCATATTTTTAAACCCGTTACTCGACGAGTAAAAGGGTGTAATGTATATTTGCACAGTAGAAAACGTTTCCGACCCTATAAAGCATATAGTCTTGATCAGCATCAATACTTGAGTCGATATGGCCATATCTGTTTGTCCGTCTGTTCGTTATTCTCTCTCTCTGTCGTTATCCTCAATTTAGAAGATAAAAGAAAACCAAGAATGCAGTTCTGAATGAAATGACCATATCTATCAGACCACCGTATTGTGATCTGATTGGATCATTATTATAGCCAGAATAAAGAAATTAATTTTCAGTGACTAAACCCGCCCGTCCCGCAGCTTTTATTGTTTTTTTGCACATTCTCTCATTCACACTCTGCTTCTGCAGTGTGCTGCTCTAGGGGAGCTTTAAGCGAGCTAAAAGGGTGTGTTGATGTAGATGACATATGTAGAAAAAATGTAAAATTTGAAGAAAAAAACCACGACGGTAAATATGTGCTACTGAGTACCGGGTATTAAAGTTGTGACACGTAAGAAGCGGCTCACACGTCCCTAATCGTTTATTATTCAATTTTTTGTGCAAACATATCCAGCAAGATGCAGGCCTCGTGTTGCACCGTCAAAACGACGATAGAAGAAGATTGATGTTCCTAGATGTGCATATGGGCATGTCGCTTTTTCGTGAATATCAGTTACAAGAGGTACGATATGATCGAAATCAAGATTGAAAAGTAGACAACCGCGATTGCTCATAATTGACAGCGTCAAACAACAGTACAAACAACGCCAAAAAACTCTAACATGAGTCAGATGGCATATGTTGGGAATCAGGAAAATTTAGGTACCAGCCCAACATATTTAGCAGTCTGCTCATAGGCACATATCAAAAAGACTATTCGAACATTCAAGAGATTAAACGGACAATTAGAAGGGATGGGTTTAGCCCATGCAAATTAATTTCTTCATTGTGGGTATAATAATGATCCAATCGGATTCCAATTCGGTCCTTCCCTACAGAATGCCGTTTTTAGTTTTCTTCTATTTTCAAAATTGTAGATACCGCAGATTTCCGCTCTTTGCGTGGGCGAAGGGGGGCGGGGCTAAATTTTGAAATACATTTGGAAAAGTGTGAGCATACAGCCATCTGGCCCCAAAATTTGGTGGCACTAGCTTTTGTAGTCTCTGAGATCCAGGCGCTCAACAAGACGGACGGACAGCCGGACGGACAAACAGACATGGCTAAATCGACTCGATTATTGATGCTGATAAATTTTGAAGATAATGGATCACCATTGGGATCCGATTGGATCATTATTATAGCCAGAATGAAGATATTAATTTTCAGTGGCTAAATCCGCAGGTTTTGTTTTTTTTCACATTCTCTCATTCACACTCTGCGTCTGCCGCGAGTCTGCAGTGTGTGGGTCTAGGGAAGGGCGGCGAGCTAACGGAGCGTGTTGGTGTGAGAAGTGTTGTAGATGTAGATGACAGGTGAAGAAAAAATTTAAAATTTGACAAAACACCGCTAAGGTGCAGATGTTGTACTGAGTGCCGGGTATAAAGTTGTGACGCGTAAGAAGCGTCTCACACCTCCCTTCTCGTTTTTCTTCTACGTTTCATTGATCTGTTTATGCTTCTGGAGGGAAATTACCCCCCAATTCCATCTCCATGGTCCAGCCCTCGTCACGGATAGACAAACAACAAAAAGTTTTATTTTTGGGACGTTTGAGACGTTTTATACCCGGTACTCAGTAGGACATCTGCACCTTGGTAGTTTTTTTTTCAAATTTTAAATATTTTTACATGTGTCATCTATATCTACATCACTTCTCACGCCAACACGCTCTGTTAGCTCGACCCCGTCCTCTAGAGCCACACCCTGCACGAAGCAGAGATTCCTATCGAGAAGGAATGAGCAACAACAAGCAAGCAAAAGCTGCTGAGGGTGTGGTCCCTTTATGGGGCGGAAGGGTTACATTTTGAAACAAACTTGATTCAGTTTGATATTCCATG